CTTTAAATTCATTTTTATGTACCAAGGACCTCAATTACCCTATTTTGAATTCGCAATGATTGTTAGATATCATATGCAAAATATATAAGCGACAGCTTGCAAAACAAAAATTACAAGAAACAAATTTGGCAGAAGAAGAAAAAAAATCAAAAACCAATTGTTCAGAGATCAAATGAAGGTCTTTCCCCATGAATTTTCTAAGTAATTTAGAAGAAGTAACTTCCGGTTGAATGATAGGTTAAAAAATATATGGTTTCTTTATACTTTTGTCTGACATAAGGAAGATAATTTGCTACTTCCGGTTAAGAAAATGTCACTTCTGGTCACATATGATAGCTTAATTTACAGATTCCAAAAATATACGGCTTATATATACTTTTGCCTAAAAAAGTGAGATAAATTGCAACTGCCGGTTTAACAATTGTCATTTCCGGTCTCATATGATAAGATAGCTGTATTTACACTATTCCAAAAGTATATGGTTTCTCTATACTTACTTTAAGTTTGGAGCATTTTGATAATTTTGACATTTTTGCTGTTTTCATAATTAAGGCGGCCGTTTTGGAATTTCCAAAGTCAATTGGCACATCTAAATATGGCACCCAATATTTGTCTGAAGTTTAGTTAACTTTTGAGCATATTGATTTTTTGGACATTTTCCATGTTTTCATGGAAACGGTGGCCATCTTGGAAATGCAATATCGATTGGAAATCTGAACGTGCTGGTTAACATTATGGTATAGTTCCATTAACATTGGTTCATACAATACCGAGATATAAGCTTCACAAAAAAAATGGGAGATAAATTATAGAAATAAGATAAAAAAAAGAAACGTAAAAGAACAATATGTCACCTCAACTCCGTTGAGGGTACCATGGTGATATTAATCAGAACAAATACAATAAGTCTTTCCACAGAAAAGTGAAAAGACCCAATAATTATATAATAATAATAATTAAAGAAGGTCTTTCCATCCGAAACGATATATTTTGACATGCAAATATATAAATCTGGTTTGAGATGTCATTTCCAGTGTCACATGATAGCTTACTGAACGCTGATTCCAAAAATATATGGTTATATACACATTTGTTTGAAATAAGGGAGATAATGTTTTATTTCCGGTTTGAAAAAAAAATGTCACTTTCGGTATTATATCATGTATATGATAGTTTACATGACATTTGATTCAAAATAATATATGGTTCTTTATACCTTGACATTAAATACAAACACAACAAAAAGCTACATCCGGTTTGCAAAAGGTCACATACGGTTGACTCTTTCGATGTCATATTGCTTTTAAATTAATGCAAAACATCCCATGGATTTATCATGTAAAATATGAAATTGAAGCAAAGGTCAAAATCTAGAACGTCAAATTTACCTTTGATCTTGACCTCATTTTCATGGTCATCAAGCAAGGATCTTATATCAAAAGACCTTAGGTCTCTACTATGTATTGTCAATATTGATATTGTATTGGTAGTGTGTCATAGATCAAATTATTCGTTCAGTGTATGTTTTCTTGTTTTTGTTAATATGTATTTTTGATGAAGTTAAGCCATTTCAATTGATATTTTATAGTGTGTCTTATAATGCTGCACTACTGTTTCAGAAAAGGGTGTTGCATTGGCACTCATACCACATCTTCTAATTTCTAATTAATGAGTTATAATACTATTCAACTAACTTTTTAACATTTCAGGGGAGAAAACTCCCAGTAAATCTAACAGCAACGATTTGAAGAAAACAAATTCTTATTAGGACATATCACAGCTAACAATTTAGAGAAAATATTTTCTCAATATATAGTAGTACATTTGCTTAGAAAAAACATGCATAAGCAAAACCAAAAAATTAAATATGACCTTGAACTTTAACCCTGACCTAGTTTTTTTTAAGTTGGACCCAGGACCTTAAATCAAAAGACCCCGGGTTTCTTTAACTTATCGTTTATTAGTTTCTTTTATTACATTTCGCCTATGTCGAATACATAAAAGAAAATAAATTCATATGGAATCTTCAGATCTCTTTGGTCAAACTTATTCTAGAGATCCTGAGGATATAACGAGCAAATAGGTGAAATAATTTTGTCGTTATATTTTACGGTTACGGAGGAGTAGCAAACAAAAGAAAAACAGTGTTCAGGGAAATAACTCTTACAAAGACATTTGTTTCTTTTCACGTGTCAGATTTTAAAAACGAATTAAATGTTCGATATCAGATATCCAAAATGTAAGCGACATCTTGCAAAACAAGCAAACAGCGCAAGAAAAAATTTGATGGAAGAAAAAACTATAATCAGAACAAAATCACTAGGTCTTTTACGGAAAAGTGGAAAGACCAAATAATCGGATCAAAATCAAACGGTCTCTCGTCAGAAAAGAGGATAGACTTAAATAACCAAAACCTATTGTTTAGAGAACAAGTGAAGGTCTTTCCACATTAATTTTAAATGATTGATAAGAAACTACTTGCGGTTTACTCAAAGTTACTATTGGCGTCGAATCATAAGTTTCTTCAAACTGATTCAATGAACATATATTGTCTCTTTATAATTTTGTCTGAAATAAGGGAGTTATTTTGCTACATATGGTTTAGAAAATGACACTTTCGGTCTCATTCGATAGTTTTATTCGCACTGATTCAAAAATATATCCTTCCGCAACTGGCACAGAATCTGGTTCAGAATCCCGTTTTATGCTTAAGAAACGTGATGGAAGAACTCGTCTGCCGGATCATGAACAAACGTATTGCTTCCTCGTGTGAAAAATCAGTAGATATTTCGTTGAAAGAAGTGTCATGATCTGGGCGGCTATCTCTAATGACCGTAAAACGGAGTTTGTACATGTTCCGGGTAGTTGAACGGCTCAAAGGTACAGAGACAAAATTCCCCTACCTCACCTTATGCCTGTTATCGACTGACAGAGGGAGTTATTCCAGCAGGACAATGCTAGGTCTCACACAGCGAGTTTAACACTGGACTACCGTGAGCTGAATCATCAATGTGCTACCTTGGCCTTCCAAATCACCGGGCTTGAATCCTATAGAGAATCTATGGGTCCAACTGGATACACGTTTGCGGCAGCGTCAACCCCCTCAGACTCTTGATTAGACCAAGCCAAACATTGCAGCGGGAATGGCGAGAAATTCCACGCAACACCATTAGAACATTGATAGCAGACATGCATACATGCAGTCTTAGCAGCGAGAGGTGGTCATACACGGTATTAACTTAAATGGCAGCGGTAGTAATTCTAATTGTGAGAAATTGACTTTTAATTATCAATCCCCAAGGAATTGACTGTCCTCTTATCAATCAAACACGTTCTGAGTGAATATCTGTATCAGTATTGTACAGTTCATGTATTGAAATTCTTAAAAATTCATTATGCGTTTCTTTTTTGGCAGTGTATACATATTTTATTACAGAAGTTTTTAACACAGATTTGTATTTTAAACTATTAGCAGACATTTTATTGTAAAATTTCACTGATATTTACGGAGCACGAAAGCCTTATTTTTAAAGGTAGATAACTCTTATAAGATTTTAACGGATTGCTTCGATCCAAATCAGCCAAAAATTCCTGAGAATTTAACGAACAAAAAAGAAAACCTTTTTTGTGGTTACGGAGGAGATACACTAACAAGAAAAACAGAGTGTGTGGAGAAAACTCTTATAATTAAAAAAAGCTATGGCTAAACATGCTAAATAAGATGAGTTTTAAAAGTGCAATTACTGTTCGATATGATATCCAACATATCTAAGCCACATCTTGCTAAACAACTTTATACAGCAAGAAAATGGTTTGGCAGAAGAAAAAAAAAATCATCAGAACAAAATCAAAGGGTCTTTCAGAGGAGATACACAAACAAGAAAAAAGTTTGGGCAGAAAACTTTTACAATTAAAACGTCTATTGCTAACAAAGATGAGTTTTTTAAGTGCAATTACTGTTTGATATGATGTCGAAAATATTTAAGCCTCATCTTGCGAAACGATTTTATACCACAAGAAAATGGTTTGGCGGAAAAAGAAAAAACGAAATTATCAGAACAAAATCAAAGAGTCTTTCCACAGAAAAGTGAAAAGACCTAATAATCAGAACAAAATCAAAAGAATAACAAATCGGACAGCTAAACATTCGAAATTGTGTCCTTTACTTTGACATCAGATAATTCTCGTCTTAATTAATAGGTTATATACTATAAATCTGTTTACTCTTTTTCAGTTGCAAAACTAATAGTAATAGCATAATTTCATACCTAGTACTCCACATAATTTTCAGACAGAAAAAAAAAAAAAAAACAACAAACAAACAGAAAACACGACAGTCGAAACATCGAATCCTCCTTCCCCGACAAAACAACGAACAAACTAAAACCCTATAGTAGTAAACATTTGAATACTTCTTTTCGATCAAATAATCCTGTTATCAAACCGAGTTCTGCTATTTTACATGTACATATAATTTGAGTATCATCTAAGGTTGATGTTATCGATGAATGTTCATGCAACAACTATAAGGTTCAGAGTGTAAAAACGAATGGTAATAGCATTACCCATACACACGATATATGTATTTTGAATAATTATCACAAGGTATCCTTAAGACCAAATGTTTTAAAAGCTAGAAATGTAAAATCATGGAGAGCATAACAATCCAACGGGACAAAAAAATTATTATATCTGCTAGTTGATTATCACTACAATTACATTGTTAAGAGATTAAACATAACAAACCCACTGTATCATTTTAATATTGGCTTTACCAAAGCACCTAGAAATAAATAAAGCTTCTGATACCTCTTGGAATTGAAAGTCAACCAACAGCAGTATGAACCAAGCAGTTGATAATAAAGTTAAGGACAGATTTTTGTCCGGCCCACATGTGTTTCTTGAAGTCATCAAATATGATCAATGCCAACAATTTGGAAAGCAACTAAAACTTTTGTAAGGCTTGACTACTGAAGAAATTTACACAATTATGTTCTCACCTGACTTTATTTGATCAAGTTATCATACGAATTTGCGTCAAATATTCTTCCACATTCCTCATATGTATTGATACTGTAAGAAAATAAAATTCTGATAACATATATATTTCATATTATTCCTTCACGAGAGAGAATAAGAATCAACAACACAAACATCAAATTCCAAGCTTAATTGATGTACATGCTATTGACAGAAATTTTATCAAGACACACTACAAATACAATTTCAATGTTTATGCTTGAAAGTTCAAAAAGTCAACATGTCAATTATACATGTATAACATTAAACTATTATCCACCTCCCAATATTATCATAAATCATTACATTTATAGCTTCCGTTTATGAAAATCTTGAAGAGATTCTCTCTTACATAGGTTGTTGCACTACCTTATGTCTAAATGTATAATGCTATGTCGGTGTGTTGTGGAATCTAAATGAATACGTTGTGATTGCAAAATACGTTTAATCGTCGTGATAACTCTATGAAATCTATACCATGAAGTCATTCACTACAGCGTTATGACTACAACATTACCAAAGTCCAATGTTAGTAATTCGCGTATTTTACGACATTCTGGGGGCCGACAAAAGTGAAATATGTAATGAAAAATCAAAATGTTTCAGTTCACAATAAAAATAAAAGAAATTTAGAAATAATGTCCATCTCAAATAAAATACTTTAATAATTTAACCTTAAATGATCACAATTAAAGTTTATTTCTTAATCAATTCATGAATGTTTCTTCTGGCACACACGGCAGCTTCATGAAACGCTAATCTGTTTTGTATGTTACTAGTTCCTGGCTGTTGATTATCACTTGCGTCTCTGTGGTGAATATTGTCACATATCTCCAAGGGATATAATTTAACGATCGGTCGAGAAAAGCACCCTGATTTTGTTATCACTTCGGCTGCTCTAGTAAGTCCATCATTTCCAGTTATTAAAGAATCAACAACTCCGATAGTCCATTTGTTTCTTGGATACTTGTCTTCATGGATTTCTTCGTCGTCTCCCACTTTGACTTTCTGTTCGTAATCTACTGTTCGAGTGTGCTATGCACGTATTACAAAGGTTTGTAGTTCTACGCGTTTAGAGATGTCGTTTCTGTATTTTCGTTGATTTCTTGTCGCGGGTACGGTGTAGTGGTAAACCTCCTACCATATAGCAGGTGCGATGGCTTCAAAAGGTTCTTTATCTTCGATATCGTTAAACACATACGCTTAAGCCGATCGTTCCAAACTTTCCCTAAGCACATTTTTGTTAATCCTATTAAACGCAACCACCAATCGCCGTACTAGGAAGCTTGTTTTGGTATGCATTTCCAAATCGTACCATAGACAGATAACGCATCATGCAAGTATGCATATTTAGTTAATTCCTCTAAAGTCTCTGATGCGGTCAAGTTTGTCGACGCATTATCAGGTATCATCACTCTCGGCAAACGCTGGTAAAAAGGATATTTCTTTAAGATCTGTGACGACCTCTAAATGCACTGCTCGCGTTGTATTCTCGCTACTTCCTTTAGTAACGAGTCTTGTTTGAAGGCAAATCTATTTTCTTGTTCACTGATTATTTCACTGTATTTTTGTAGCAAATGTGGCTTCCGTTTTAGGCGTCTAATTATATTCTTGGTCCTACCCTTTATTTGAAGGGAACTCTGGATGATTAAGTTTGCATGGCAACTTTGCTGTTTTTTTCCGTTATTGTAGTCAATAGCTGTGTTATGGTATGTCTGTAAATAGTTGTTGTTCTCCTTGTTTTCACATGTATTAAGTCCTTGTTTAGCTTTTCAATCTCTGTCTACTCCAATAAATGGGATGAAATGACGATTAAATGAAAAGTAGATGTTTAAGGCTGGCTGATGTTTCTATTGATTGGTCCGGATAACTAACATCCGATATTTGACTGTACAGCGGTGGGTCCTTTTCCTGGTCCTCGATACTTTCCCAGTAGTAATTCGCGCCTATAAGTAGACCGATCTCAAAACGTTCTCCACTGTGTATAGAATGTGCAAGTTTAAGTCCTCTCAAGTGTTGCAAGCTCCTTGTAGTATTCGAAATCTTGATCTGAAAAATAACGGCAATCTGTGGGACAATGAGTGTGTCAATACACACCTTTCTCCTGTGTCGGTCTGTAGTTGTATTGTTACAGTGTCTAATTTACGAACATTCCGAACGCAGAAGATAAATGCTGACTTTTTCCGTCGGTTTAATATCCTCTTTTTATCAGTTAATTTCTTAGTTATAAAAGAACTCTGTGCTCTCTCGTCAATTAAAATGTTATATTCTACTATTTGGTCGTTATATATAACTCGTGCAGTTGTTGTTTGAAGGAGAATATTGTGACATTGTTGTAATGCATACATTACACTAGTTTTGTCTTTAGTTTCAACCTATTTGATAGCTGTTTCGTACCTGTATTGACCTCTTTTCTTTACGTATGCTTGTTTGATGCATTCCGCTACATTTTTTACATCGTCTTGTAGACTTTCATGCGGCCACTGGGCATGACCATAAACAGTTGAAGCATAACTGTTGTTTTACAATTTGATTTCTGGTGTTTGAGTCTCTATCTTCGATGTACTCTGTCGGAAAGTGCTCACCTGAAAAAAAATACAAGTACGTTTGTTTACTTTCTTGCGTGTATCTGTTAATTTGCCTTTGTTTTGTGTTTTTGGTTGTGTACCAGAGAAAAATGCTGTGGTGTGGAATCTGTCTGATTACGTGACTCCTTGTCCTGCTTCAAAGAAGTCAATCTCTCTAGTTATCAATTTGCGTAGATTATTTAAGATCGAATTATCTTTCCCGTGTTTTTGTGCAATCGATTTCCTTATGCTAAGTGGTAATTTGTACAACACAACTTGTACCAAAAGCGATCCATACATATATGATATTACACCAAGTGACTCTAATCCTCTCACAAAGGATTCTAGTTTGTCTCCGTAGGACCTCAAGCTAAATACATTATTTGTCGGTGCGGGTAGGTTCATGAGTACTTTCATGTAAGCATGGATCAGTTTGCTAGGTTGTCCTTAACAGTCTCTAAGAAGATTGACTGCTGGTCCGTAGTTTCCATTAGTCAAAGCGAATCCCTCTACTGTTTGCGCGGCGCTTCACTCAAGTTGGGCTTTGAGATAATTACACTTTTAGATTGGTGTTAAAGTATTTTTCAAATATATAGAAGACTCGAAACAAACCCACAATGTCTGCTATTTGAGTATATCTCCATTAAAATAGGGCAAGTTTAACTTAGGAAGCCTATGGTAAATACTTTTCGGTCTCGGTTCTGACGGAGTTGACACATACTATTCTCTGACGGACGGGTATGTACTGCAGGGGGCGTGAATTGAATACTGTTCATTCATAAAGTCTATTGAACAAGTGTTCATATCAACTCTGACCTCGGGCGTGAAATTATATGTATTTGCGTGAGGTCTGCTTGTTGAAGGATCAACATTACCGTGGGACGTTTTAGTGTTTGATTCAAAGACTTGATAAATTTGCGAATGTGTCTAAGCTTGCAATCTAGTTCATGCATATACTCAGTTGAGTCGGTGATTTCCTGCTCCGGATTTTCCTCCGATGTTTCATCTAAGAGTTTGTTATTCAGGTCAATCAGCGTTTTCTTTTTCTGCGTGACGGCATTATCAAGAGCCTTCACTTATAAATTAGTTAACTTCTGTATTTGTGCTAAATTTTAACTCGTCAAATTTTACCAGTAACATCGTGACGGCTCCTTTGTGTCCAGCACGAACTGACTTCAGCTTTGAATCCATATCCAAAGGTTACGGTACCATTAAATTTTGCGGAATCTCAATAAAAACGTTGTGATTGCAAAATATGTTTAATCGTCGTGATGTCTCTATTAAATCTATACCATAACGTCATTCACTAGAGCGTTATGGCTACAACGTTACCATAGTTCAATGTAAGAACTTTGCGTATTTTCCGACACGGTGCTAATAAAATAACGGCTTTAATCTAGTGTTTTGTGAAACGAGTCATTTTCCAAAAGCTTACGAAATATACATGAAAATTCATTAACAATAACATATAACTATTTAAGTTTCCAAATTTATAAATGAAACTTTCAAGTTAGATTGTTCTTTCAAAATCTGTTTTTTTTTTACAAACTCTCTTGGATACGTTTGATTACGAAAACTGTGGGGATCAACATAATACATGGAAACAAACTTATTTTCTCAGATGATTATTTCGAGTATACCCCTTTCTAGTCAATTTCGTCATGCATGAAGGAGTATGTATTACTGTACATATTACATAATACACTGTTTTCAAATATTTGTTTGTATAGAATTGATAATATTCATATAAATCTGTATGAAGTATGCATACCCTTTCTCTTGGTGTTGTTTTTGTTCTGAAAAAAAAAGATATTTTAGACATACATGCTCCTGCATTTATTGTGCGTTCTATACCTAAATTTTGTTAGCATACTCAATGTTTTGAAGGGGAAAGTTAGAATCTAAAAATCAAATATAAAAGCAAAAACAATAAGTACATGAACATGACCAAAAACCAGGACTTTGAAAGTAGTTGTATCTTTCCTCTATTTCGTAGAAAAACATTTCTTTTGATTTTGTTCTGATTACAAGATATGTCCACCTTTCTTTGGAAAGGTCTTTTGATTTTGATCTGTTTATTGATTTTCCCCCACAAATGCTTTCAAAAGACGGTTTTGTTTCACAACATGTCGAGGAGATAATCGCTGTATGATATCGAACAGTTACTGCGCTTATGAAACTCACCCTATTCAACTTAAAACTTATCTATATGAAAGTTATTCCCCCGAATTCTGTTTTTCATGTTATCGTTTCATCTCAGAAACCTCAGACACCGTTTAAGATAATACTTTATTATTAATTTTTCCATATAATCGTAGGTTTCTGAGAACGATTTGTTCAATTTCGACGGAAGCGATCCGGACACATTTTATAGACCTATTTCCCTTTGTGTGTTTGATATAAAGGTTATGTCGGTGCAACTATTTGATCGTATTTCATACAAACGTAATCTTTGATATGAGATTCGTGATTCATAAGCAGGTAATTGACGTAAGTAAGGTCAATATCAAAGGTCAGATCAGTGTCATATGCTAAAATGTTTCCATTTTTGACAAAAAAATCCAAATTGCCATACATGTGAGTAATTCAACTTCTTGAACTTTTAAAGCAAAAATGTTCCATTTAATTCTGTATTTCTATCCTAAATTCATAAATTATGAATGGAAATATGTATGCATTTGTGAAGTCCGATAGGTATAGAATAAAGACTACTAATGCATCTCCTTTTTTTTTTTTTGGAGGGGGGTGAAACAAAGTTTTTCAGGGTTAAATAAAACAGTCGGAAATTGAAAAAAAGTGTGCTTCCTTGTGAACATTCTGAGCATTTAAGCATAAACTTACTTCAATGGATGATGACAGTAATACAGAATATTACATATGGTGAAGCATTCTCCTGTTTTCATTGGATATTACGATCACGTGTTTCAAATAATATTTCATGTATCTGAAGCCTTGTTTCTATTTTTAAGTATATTGTCGCTATTTTTCTAATGATACGTATATTGACGGTCAATATTAAAAATCTGTGACGTCACACATAATAATCATGGCGGAAGCGCCGCAGAGTACGAAAAGAAAATTTGAAAGTAAACTGAAATGAGTTCCATTTGAATTCTTATTTGTTCTAAACAGACAAAAAAATGTTGTGTTTTTGTTTACAATAAAACAAGTTAATCTTTTTTATTAATATTTTCAATAGCATGTTAAAAATCTTGCATAATAAAATTTAAAAAAAAAAAACACATTAAGAACATTGAAGTCCATTTTTCTAATACATTATTTACATATGTAATATATAAATTAAGGACTTTCACTCAGTCAATACGTTACATATGGACCTGTTAGATTATATTGACACTCGGACTTCGTCCTCGGTCAATATAATCTGAACAGGTCCATATATAAAGTATTGACCTCGTCAAAAGTCCATAATTGATAAATATTAATTTGTTTAAAAACGTTAGCCTTAACCTTAGCGCATGATCTGTTTAATAAATGACTATTCGAACAACTATAGGTCCATCTTTCAATAGGACATCTTTGATATGTAGAAATACGACAAAATTGTCTCGGGGTAACAATATTCAGTGCTATCTCCTTAGCCTTGAGCTACTAAATTAATTAACATGTTAAAGTTTTGAATTAAAAGTGATCAACTTTGACGTCATGTACATGACAACTATCCGCATTTAAAGAAGTACACGGTTGATCAAGTGTCAACGTGAAGGATAATTAAGGATATATGCCATGGGAATATATCTCTCGTATTAATCAATAACTATCTGGCATTTTAACGTGCGATATGAAAACATAAGTTAACACCTAATGACTAAAAAAACTATTTTTGATGTTGATAGTTAAAAAATATACCAATACTATTTAATCTAATATTTGATCCATCTAAAGAAAACGGATAATATAAGTTCACTTCGCTGATCATTTACTAAAATTAAAAGTAAAGATCACATTACAAATTTCAATCGACCAGTATTGACTAGGGAGGTAAATACTTGTAAATACCAGGGGAATTAAAACCAGCTAACTTTGAATACGAAACTTGTCCACACAGTATTTTGAGAACTAAATGCAGACACAATATAATTATATTTCTACTTCCTTTGAAATAGTTATTTGAAAAACTGCTTTTACATTTTTGTAATTACTTTTTTTCTTTCCTTTCATTACAACTTTTGATGTTGATGTAGATGCAACATGCGGAAATATTACTGTGTATTAAATGGGAAGTAGTGATAAGATTACCGATCATTTTCTTGAAGATAGCGGAGTCTCGATTGTTGGAACCTAAAATATTGGTGAGGGCCAGTTGAAATTCAAAATGATTAAAATGAAAATAATAAAAAAAAAATTAAAAAACAGGAATCGACACATTTACAATTACTATGTAGTTATAGTGCAGTAATTTTTGTGATTGTAATAGTTTTAGACTTCATCGTATGTCCTAGTCCGTCTACACAGCTGTCATTCGGTATATCGAGAAATATGATCGTAAGAGAATACCTAACGGTGGTGAAGCATTGATATCGGATCGTGGAAGATCTGGTATCGGATCGTGAATGTCATTAATTTCAATTCTACTTCAAAATCTATGAAAAATCTGTTGATTTTCAAAACGCAGAACAAATCCGAAAAAGAAAATAATGTCTGTCAACTTTCACAATATATTCTGTGCAATAAGATTAAGAAAATATGCAGTACTTTATGAGAAATCACAAAAGGCGCAACACAAGTCAATGGGATCCATTACAAAAAAACAAACAACTTTTGTACCTAAAATGATCACTTTCCAATATATCATGATATATTTGAAACTGAATCTTTGGTTTGTCAGATAGTACAGTAAAAAAAAATATTTATCGACTTGAAACCGTTCATTTTGTTTTTGAAAACATTGAATTTTGTTTAATTTTTCATCAAAATTGATCGTGAAAGACCGGGTAACAAATTATCTTGATCGTGAAAGACAAGACATGACCAGACGGACGCCGGACGTTTGCGCCTTTTTACCTGTAAGACTAATGGAAATTTGCGCTTTAAACACTATGTACAGTTGTGCTTTGAACTTTGATACACCTGTACAAAATTGATAGGACATTTGCGCTTTTTACCTATAACAGTTTACCTGTAATCTTTAGAAAGTTTACCAAAAGTCATGGAAAGATGTTCACATATTCTTCGATTTGTTCTTCCGAACAAACAACATAATACAAAAAATTATACGGGTAAAATAGACATATTATCAAAAATATAGTATACGTTTTTGGGTAAACGATAGTTCAGACAAAACTTATAAATATATGGATGGAACCCTTAAATTTTGACCGAAATTCTTCAATAAGCTATCTAATTAGTGGATTTAAAATTTGAAACTATATTCCCCTTTTTTTCGTTCTGTTGCATGAATAGTCCGACGAAATGTACTAGCATAGTTTATCCAAGCTTATATCAATTTGTGAAGACCGAAATTTATTTTTAAACCACCTGTTGTACCTGCTGACCTTTAAAAAGAGTCATGATTGTTATAATGAATTTACTCCCATCCACCCTCTTGGAGGGTGGTCGTTTTCATCTGACACAAGCATGATGGGGAAAGGTTAATGCTTTTAGCTGTATATAAATATATGAATGTTTTGTGTTGTTTTTATGTTATGGAGATTGACAAAGAGCAGATGTTCTTTTAAAAAAAAGCGCAAATGTCCTACCAAACAGCGCAAACGTCCCGCGCCGGACCCGACTTAATAATCAGAAAACAATATTTCTTTTACCAATTGAAATACCTGTTGAAGAGTCTAATTATTTTAATAAGAACAAACATTAATGCTTTCAATTTTTTTCACTTTTTTTGTTTCAACTCATTTCCTTAAAAGTAACTAAAATAACTAAACACGTGTCTAGATAAGTAGATTTACAAAATGAAAGGGCCTTCAGGAGCGTAAAATGTCGAAAAGTAAAAGTATATATGTATCGATAATGCATAGTGCATCCGCCCTGGAAATATATGCATGTGTTCGCTTTTTTTGTCTGTGTAAGGGCGTCGTTCGTGCGTACATAATATGACAATATTTGCTACTTTATTGTTTATGTCGTAGATGCACTGACAGAAGGGTACAAATATAACGTTTGTTTTACTTGATTGTTTGATAATTCTGTTCACAATAGCTATACGTCACTGTACGAAACTTAGTAGGGACATTACCAATCAACGTGCATGGTGCCCAGCTTGAACTGTAATTTAGCCGATTGAGTTCTATTTTCAAGTTAAATTTGTAGAAGAAATTAAAACTGATGAAAAACGGACTAAAAGACTGATAAATCGCAATAAGGCACCTAGTCGATGTGGTATTATAAGATAATTAGATACAGCAGCATTGAACATTATAGCTCTATTCACCAACAAAAGAGAACTGGAATGAGCCATGCAAATCTAGTATTTGCTATACTAATTTAAAATACAAACTATTATATTGTTGAATAATGATTTGAATGTGTTCGTAACATCAAATCTTTCACAATCCTTTTCACGATCTTCAAAAAGTGGTACGCGATCCTTCGCGATCCGAAAAATCATTTTTATGTAAATATTTCATTGTTTGCAAAATTGTGATTAAGCTAACACAAAGTAACTATAAGAATCATTTGAATCTTTAAACTGGAATGATATTTGACAAGAAAGTTGTTTAGTCGATCGAATGATGAAAACATCTTCTTTGTTTACATATTTTATGTCATTGAAATGTCGAGGAGCAATCTGTCTTTAGTAGTTTTAAAAAAAACGGTG